AGGCTATATAAAACCTAGTAATTATTTAAAACGTAACGTAACGACGAATAATTAAATTAATATAATCGAATAATTACCTTTACTTAGTTAACTAATATTAATATTTCGCCTTATATTAGCGCAAAAGCTATTATAAATTACGTAGCGAAGTATTATTCTAAAAGGGAAATTAAGACCGATAATTATAGCGTCCTTACTAAGTAAATCCTCTTAAAGGTCCTTAACGTAAATCCTCTTTTTCTTTTATATCGAAATTAATAAATGAATTAATCGGAGAGCGAGATTACTTTACGTAAAAGGTTTACTATATATTATATAGGTTATTCTTATAAGCTAATTCGTATGTTATACGTAACGTAAATTACCGGCCTTTAGCGGAATAAGATTATAACCTCGAGCTCGGCTCTAGCGACGTTTCTAACGGGCGTAATACTTATAGGAAGTATCTCTAGCGCGATTTAAAGGTATTAAAGGTTATTAAATTAAGCTTCTTTCGCTTCGTATCGATTTAGAATTTTAATAAGTCATACGCTTACGATTAACGTCCTTTCTAACGTAACGTAAAAGAGCGTATACTTAATTATTACCCTATCTACCACGTAAATGAAGGCCCTAACGAGTTAAAGTCGTTTTACTACGTTAAGCTTATATTAAATTATCTATATATTAATAAGGACGAGCTACTTTTAGTTAACGGTACCTAATTTCTAACGTATATATTAACGTATACGCGATATTAAGTAACCTATTAACACGAGGACGATTACTACGGCGACCTTCCTAGACCCGACGAAGAGAAGTTCGAGCTCTTAGAGAAAGAAGAGCAGGCTTTAAACGAAGAGGACTAGGCTAAACTAACGCGTCTACTGAACAGGAGCAGCGTGGGCACGCTGTGATGGAGGCACGAAACGGCTACCCAACTGCTAACAACTAGCCCAGTGCCGATTAACTAAGATTACAGCTCTAAACAGCTGTAATGGGTTGATCGGCTAGCTGAAAACGGCAGCTGAGAAAAGAAAAAAAGGGAAGAAGGAGACTAGAAACGGCAACGAGGATCGCGAGAAAAGGCATGGCAAGAAACGAATGAATAGCTGTAGGTCGTGATGTCTACAGGTCTAAGTCTGACTGATGAAAATATGAGTGCGCGACCCATATAAATAGACATCGAAAAGGCTACGTGGCCTAGATCCACCGCACCACTACACTACTTCCGAACTAAGCGACTACGTAGGAAATATTTAACATACTTAGGAATAAAGATATCGACGTAAACTACGATTAAGCTATATACGTAGTCCGATATAAATACCCTTACTTTTACGATTCTATTTATTAACGCGAAATAATAAGTACTACGGATACGCCGGAGCAGGAGATCGTTCCCTTAGATACTTATAATACGCTAAATCCGGAATAAAGGCTAGTTTACGATATCGTTTTCGGCTACGCATAAAGTCGTAGTTAAAACTAGCTCTTATCTTAAATCGACGGTAGTAGCGGTATTAAAAAATCGTATCTAATTAAGATTTTAGCCTTCTACGTTCGCTAGGCTCTTACTTAAGACTCGGTAGCCCTTACTACCTTAACTAGCGCTACGAGTAATAACATTCGCGGGAAAATGATATATTCTTTCCTTCGTTTACTTATAAAACGTAGCTTTAAGCCGTTCTTTATTAACGCTCTCGCTAAGATATAACGACGCCTTATTAACCTTCGCTATTTAATTATCGACGAAAAGAATATATTAAAGTTACGTATACTTAGGTTTATTAATCGCCGTTTACGGTAGATATTTCTGCGTAGTTCGCGGGTTTTTAATAGCGTAAATATAATCTTAATCGGCGACTTCTTTTAGTTACCCCTAGTATTATTAAAGCCTATCTATACTTTTAATTCGATGTATCTTTCGGTAAACGAATTCGTCGGCTATAATACGTATAGAGCTTTTTCTAAGTCGGTATTTCTATCGGTAGTTTGGCGCTAGGTAAGCGAGGATTAAGCGCCTTTTCGAAAAGCGCTAAACGAGTTACGCTTAACGTAAGTTTTCGCCGAATCGTTCTAGCTCCTATCTACGAGAATAACCGCGGTACTAACTAAGTAGGATCGTCTTAGCTTTAAAGAAACGGTACGTATATACTCTATACGTAAGAAGATACTTTAATATAATTTTAACTATTTCGTAACGCTTAATTCGTTAATCATTTAAACGTACGTTATTTATTACGGCCGAGGAGCGTTAAACGCGCCTAACGACCTAGCCGGTAACCTCTCCTTTAAGCTACCGCTTTATATAAGCGCTCGAGTAATATTATTACGTAATATCTCTTCCGAAATACGGCTTATAAATAGCTCCTAAGGCTTTATTTACGATATAAGTTAAGCGTAAGGCGCTAATCCTAAACGCGAGCCGTTAATAGTAGTTATAGTAGCTTTCGACGATTACAACGGACCCGGGTTTAAAGATACTTAAGGAAATAAGCTACGCGATTTTCCAAGGAAAAAGGTAATACTAATATTACGCGAGCGTTAGGAGTTCGATTATAAGGATATCTCTTATATACGAGAATAATTCCCTCTAATTATCTTATACGTAATAACCATTTATAAAGCGTAAAGTATTATTATTCTTTACGCTATCGTTAGAATTATAAAAAAGAAATTCGCGTTAAGGTTAAATTACGTCGCCTGTTTTAGGGTTACCTCGCTATAAGGCTTAATATTCGACGAATCATTTTATAAGAATATAGTATATAAGGAGCTAAAAAATAATAAGTTTCTTTTTACGTTCGTTAATATTTAAGCTAATATATATTTCATAAGTATAAAAGCTAAGCTAGAAAATAGAGATCTTCGTTTACGTATATAATTATTTACTTAACCTTTATACCTATGACGATATCCTTATAAATAACGTACTTTAACGTTATAAATAACGAATAAAAGTAGCGTATATACGTTAATTCTATCGAGCGAGTATAGTTTTAATACTTTAATTAATCTTTATATAGCTAAACCGCGTAGAAGTAAAGAGTACGGGTATCAAAGTAACATAGATATATTATTTTTTATATGGAAGTACGTCTTTCTTACTTTAATTACGGAGCGTTTCCTAAAATACGCCGCTCCTTCCTAACGTATAAAGATATCGCGACTTCCTTAGTAACTAGCGACGTATCTTTCTTTAATTACCACTTCTTATAACGCTTCCTTATTTCCGAAATAAAATAACTTATTTTCTATTATTAATTACTTTTATTATTTCCTTTCCTTTTTCCTTACGCCTCTTATCCTTCCTATAACTACGTAAGTTTAAACCTTTATATATAGCTAATTAAGCTTAAAACGAACGCTAACGATATTTCGTAGTTTTTTATTTAATAAAATAAGATTAAAGTAGTTGAAAAAAGTCAGAAATTTAATACGCGCGCGATAGATTTAATTAATTAAAGTAATATCTAGAATTTCGACTACCGAGTTCGTTAACCTAGGCCTCGATTAATTATCGGCTAGCGACGCCCGCCGCGTAGCTAGTATTAATACTACGATAGGTAGTACTAACGGCCTAGCGGCCGCCGGCGGCGGTAGCGACCTTCCTTTCTTTGATATACCCTATAAAGTAAGTTATACTCTACGAACTTTATGGTATAAAAAAAAGTACGCGATTAAGTAATAATATACGTAGGCGCTAATTTGTTTATATAGAATCTACCTATAAACCGAATCCGCCCCTTTATTAGTAGCGACGACGGTAGCGACGACGACGGTAACGAGAAAAAAGCGTTACCTTATAAGGTATGTTTTAAACGAATTAATCGATTATGGGCGAACGCTTACGTAAAAAGAACCGGTATATAAAATAGCGTAAAAAACGCGGAAAGTTACGTATACGCGATAATTAATAAGTATAAAAGATAATTGCTATTATTATTACTATAAGGGCTACTACGCCTGCGCTAAGGTACCCCGGGGGGCCGAGTTAAAGCTCGTTAAATTTATGGAATTAAAAAAAGCTTTCGATTCTAAAAGAATTAATAAAAAGGTACGTTAATACGTAATAAAATACGCTAGTATAGAAATTCTAATTTAAAGTAAGCTTTTAATAAAGTCTATAAGAAAACTAGAAAGGTAATCCGGAAGGCGGAAGAGCGAGTTATAAAGTAATAAGGATTAGATACTAACGCTTTTTCTAATAATAAATTATTACGAGAAATCTTACGTATATTAAGAGAAAAAAATAGAGGTACGTAAAAGAAAGTAGAAAAGAAACGTAGAAAGAAGTAATGAAGATATAAGTTTAAAGGTTTCGTAGTTTTATTAGGCATAGCGCCCTTTTTTAATATAGAAATTACGTACCTACGTAATTTTAACTTTAAAAAACTTTTTCTATATTAGATTTCTTTAATGTTTTATTCTTCTTAAATTCGTTTTACTATAAACGTTTTTTATCGTAAATAATATACGCTCTACTCGATATAATATGCGTTAACGTAAAAATTTAAACTAGTTTCGAATTTATAAAAGATAGTTTCGTATGAATTATAAGTTTTCTATATATACGTTTTCTAGGTTTTCTATAATAAATAAAGTTCGTAACTTTAAAAATCGTTATTAAATAAACAAAGTATACTTTCTATATCTCTCTATCCTCTAGATAGGTTATTATTTTTAGCGTTTACGTTAAAAATAAGCCCGAATTATTCTACTTCGTAGAATAATTCAGGCCTTATTTTATATTACATAATGTTGGTTTCTCTTTATTTTATTTACAGTCGATTATTTATTAATTTCTTTTCGTAGTTTAATTAATCGTCGATTCCTACTTACCTATTTCCTTCTAGCCTTTGGAAAGGTCCTAGGTTTTCGGTACGAAAACGTAGAGAAGCGCAGCGTACTTCGACGTATTTTATTTAATTTACGATTTCTTAACAGCTCGTATATACCCTTTCTTATTATCTGTTGTTACGTAGAGGTTGCGCCTCTTCGTTGCTTACCTTAGCAACAGGAGCTCCTATATATACGCTCCCGTTGCTTCCATTCCATTAGCTAGTTCTTAGATAGAACAAGACCTTTTTCCTTCCTTTGCTCCTCCTCCCGCCGTTCGTTGCTCGTGAGATAGCTCCTTGCGCGCGCTCTCGCACACGTGGCTCTCGCTACGTGATATCTGTTCATATCATTTGATTTTTACTACTCTCGTAGTCTCACATGTACCAATTTACGCGTAGGTACATAGAGACAGATCAGAACAGGAAAAATAATTCGTTCCCCCCTTATTAATACCCACCCTAAGGTTGTTGGTTGAATCGTCATCCGTAACGCCAAAGACATTTTTATTTCGTCTTGTCCCAATGCTAGCAAGTTTTACCAGGCCGTCCCTAATCATAACGTAATGGCTACCTCCGCCACTCTGCATCATCTCAGCTGACCATTTCATATGGTCTCCTCCCAGGCCCGGCGGACGACGCGGGAGAACATGTCGACGTTGACATCCTCGCGGACCTCCGACTTCTTAGCCTCGTTCTCGGTATTGCGAGGGATTTTGACGACGGCCTCTTCGACCTTCCAGCCGGCAGTGTCAGTGATGAAGCGCAGGGCGGCCTGGCCCTCGAGGCCAAGCCACTGCTCAAGCACATGCAGGTCGATCTCGCGGTAGGCGTGGCTGACGAGGGTGGCGATGCGGACGCGGATGAGCTCCTCGAATCCCTCGATATCAGTAGTCAAATCTGCGTACAGGTCGTCCGAGTCGAGCGTCGCCCAGAACCGCGCGTATTGCGCACCCTGCAACTGTATGGCTAGCTCCCGCAGCTTCCCTATCGCCTCCGGTAGTTCCGCCCGCGAGTTCGGCGCCACTAATGACGGAGGGATGAGGTGTAGCGCCTGTGAGAATTGTGGTGACGGAAAGCAGGTCAGGGCTTTGACTAGGATATTGGTAATAACCTCGTCCTTAATCCGGTCCGGGTTCAACTGGTACCTATAGTCCCGGGGTGGTGGTTAGCCGACAACGATTTTCAAGAAGTTGTATTCTCCAGGGACGAGCCCAGGAGAATGATCGACGATATGAGGAGCAAAGGCATAGTCGAGGCGGTCAGATAGAGCTAATAAAGGTGACATCAGAGCGGCGAGGGTTGAGTCAACCTCAGCGCCGTAGTCATGCTAATAGGAAACGTGGATTACTTGATCATCATTCCAGCCCATGGGTGTAGATGTATAGTATGTCGTTGCGTCTCGTCAAACGTGTCCCCTGTACAAACTGAGGATACTCACAATTTCAGCAGCGTCCGGTTAGCATTCGAGTCGGTGTATCGGTTCTCGCACTGGTGGCGCAGGTAGTCCTCAAGGTTGCCGACAGCTTCGGGGTTGTACCGCTCCAGGCCGTTGATGATGTTGCTGACATCCTCAGGCCGCTCTTGAGGGTCTTCGGAATCCATCTTGAGAAGTGGTCGTCGCCGGAAGGGATTCTAGGCGGGCGAGTCCTTCGGCGATGGTCGAAGTTCTGAAAAGCGAAAAAAGGAAAAAAAAAAAAGGGTGTCGATGGCGGGGCGATGAGGTGGTTTTAGAAATCCGATTGATGTACTTGTGCGCGCTAGCCTATGGATGGACTAGCCTATTCTATTGATCGCATAATTCTATGTAGCTCGTTGAATGCATAACTCTTTTTAAGTTATGCATTCAACAGGACACAACCAGATCCGTGTTTTAATTAGGTAGGTACGTTCCTAGTAAAATGATGGACACGGGATGCGCATAAGAAAGGCAGGTTCGTTATAAAGCACATCTTTTCATCTGTATGGTTGGTATCTCTACGACTCCTGTAGTAACCTCTAATTATGCCCTCTCCCTTTAGCACCCTTGTCCCAACCACGCCTGATGTTCCTACGTACCCATTTCTACCTAGGCCCCTACACCCTCTACGCCACAACCAGAAGATTATTGCCCGTCATATCCTCGGGAACTGGTAAGCCCATGGCCGTCAGAATCGTTGGAGCGACGTCTCCCAGAACGCCGGCCCCTTTCTTTAGAGACCACCCGCTGGGTGCGTTGTCCATGATGAATGGGACCTTGTTGGTCGTGTGCGAGGTCTTAGGCTTGCCGTCGGGAAATTTCATCTCCTCGGCATTGCCGTGGTCAGCGGTGATGAACAGGATGTAGCCTTCCTTCTTACAGGCGTCACGGATCAAGCCGATAGCCTTGTCCGTTGCCTCGCACCCGACAATTGCGGCCTCGTACACGCCCGTGTGGCCCACCATATCTGGCGGGGCAAAGTTGTTCATGACGAACGGGAACTGCTGTTCGCCGAGCCGCTTGACGACCTGCTTAGCCACGCCGTCGGCGCTCATCTCTGGCGCCTTGTCGTAAGTGGGGACGCTCTTGTTCGATGGCACGAGGTCTTGAGATTCGTCTCGGGTCTCCAGGGCGAAGACCTTCTCGACACCGCCGTTGAAGAAGAACGTAACATGGGCATACTTCTCGGTCTCGGCAATGTGGACCTGCTTGACCCCCTGCTTGCCCAGCCACTCGGCGAGCACGTTATCCATACGCTGAGGCTCGAATGCGATCTCGAATGGGTAACCCACCTTGTATTGGGTCATGGTTACGAGGTTAATCTTGGGGTAGGGGAAGTCGGGTTTGGGGGAGCGGTCGACATCACCAAGCAGTTGCGTGATCTGTCGGGCACGGTCAGACCGGTAGTTGAAGAAGAAGACTTCGTCGCCATCCCTGATCCGGCCTTCCTGACCGTTTACGATGATGGGCTTGAGGAACTCGTCATTCTCGCCCTTCTCGTATCGTTCCTTGATGGTCTGGACGGGATCCGAGCTCTGCTCTCCCTCGCCCAGGATGAGGCCCTTCAACGCAACCTCAACCCTGTCCCACCGCTTGTCCCGATCCATGGCGTAATATCGGCCTACGACAGTAGCAATCTCGCCAACGCCGATCTCCTTGGCCGTATCAATGAGCTCCTGCATATAGCCTGCCCCGGACTTAGGGTCGGTGTCACGGCCGTCACCGAAAAAGTGGATAAAAACTTTAGGAACACCGGCAGCTTTGGCAGCCTTCAGCAGGGCGTATAGGTGTGTTTGTTTCGAGTGCTAGACACGCCGGGTTAGCCGCCGGGCTACCTTGCTTGTGGGGTTAGGCGCAACCTACGACACCCCCGTGGGAAACAAGACCACACAAGTGGAGTCTTCCATTCCCGTTCTTCGCCCTCAGCAGGACGTTCTTGATGACCTCATTGTTGGGAAGCTCGCCCTTCTTGATAGTCTGGTCGATGCGGACGACGTCTTGCCATACAACTCGCCCGGCTCCGATGTTTAAGTGACCAACCTCAGAGTTGCCCATGAGCCCCTCGGGAAGGCCGACGGCAAGCGAGGAGGCTTCGAGCTCAGTGTAACCGGTCGGGCTCTTGGAGAGCTCGTCCATGACGGGGGTCTTGGCGGCAGCAATGGCGTCGCCATCTTTGGGAGACTCGGCAGAGGGGATGCCCCAGCCGTCAATCACGACTGTTGGACCGGAGGAGGTAGACGATTAGCCAGCCAATCTCGAGGTATATGAGGAGGTAGTAAGCAAAAACGAAGTAATCAGGCCGTCTAGCGGTGGCCACGCGAGGGGAGAGAGCAGATGGTGAGGAGGCTAAAGACGAAGGAGAATGGGGCGGAGGAGTGGGGGGGAGAGAAAGAGCAAGACGGGACGTACTGAGGCAGGCCTTCTGCGTTGGCGTCGTCATGGTTGCTTGGGGTCTCTATGAAGGTGTATGTTGTGTGTATGCGCAGGTGCGGGTGCGGGCGAGATTGTTCGTCTCTGAATGCTGCTCCGGAGAGAGGAAGAAGGTGTAGGTTGGGCAGACGTGTGGACGAAAATAAAGAGAGGACCGGGGAGAGGAGCAGGGATGCCGATGGATTCGGGGGCGCTGCGTGATTTTATCCCAGTCGCAACCAAGCAATGGGTCGGAATTGGGGAGTTGGGATGGGCGGGTTGTTGAGAGATGAGGTGTTTCGGATGATGGTGGGCTGCTATGGAGTGAGCTGAGAGGAGAGGTACTACTTATCGGTCTATCGGTCTGTCGTAGTGGGGGTGGTGTTTTTTTTTTCTCTCCTGGCTTGCTCTCTCCTATCGCCAGCGCCGTGCCGCAATCCGTTGGTTATCATCGATTGTGTTAGGTCATCTCGAGGGGGGACTATGATGGCGATATGGGTATTTCGCCCCGCTGGCAGCGGTGGCTTATTTGCAACTAATGGACTTGATACTGTATACCGATTACCTACCAAGCCTCTACAGCTCTGCGGGCGCATAGGTCCCTCATAAGTACCTACCCCTCACCCAGGGCGGACGCAGAGAACCCACACGATGTATGTATGCCTCTTACGGTAGGTAGGTATATAGAGCCTGCCTACCTACCTACACTGTATGTGAGTAGGTACCTAGTGTACACACGTAGACTCAAGCCCCTCCCCCTCTGACCCCACCTTCTCATAAGTCGAGCACAATTTTCTCGATACGTAGGTAAATAAAGGTTGCTTGTCAGGGACCCACCAACAGGGGTGACGTCAGTACACACTTGGAAACCGCCCCCTTGCCCGGCATGTCGTAGGACCGCGTCCCAACACGCCGACAAGGCCACACACGGACCTATCGCATTCAGCCTCAGTCTCGAGCTTAGTGGACAGCGTATCGTCGCTCTGTTATACGACCTTGGCCCGCCATCAAATCACCGTCGCCGCCATTCTCTAGCTTCATGCCGCCCAGAATAAGGCTGAAGAGGATTGGATGAAGATAGAAAACAGCTACCTGACCCCGGGCTTACATCGCTGCCTGCCATCAAGGTTCGCTATTACATAAATTGTCATTGGTCTCCCTCTCCCATCCTGTACTGCTACATGCACTTCCCACCCAGTTCTCTCCTCTGCCCCCTTGAGCCATCCTGTCACTCACCTAACTACTTCGACGACCCTCGGCCACCATGACTACAGCGACCCCGCCTGCGCAGGCCCAGATCCTCGCCATGCCCGAGGGCCTCAACCCCGACACCCTCGACACGCTGACCGAGCTCGCTATACTTCTCAACCGCCTGCGCATCCCGACCTCCGCCTCCACGACCACCGGAGCTACGCCCGCTGCCACCACCGCGACGGCTGCGCCGACGCCCTCGCAGTCCCAGTCCCAGTCGCAGCCTCACCCCGCCGCGTCGTCGCTCCACCGGCCGGCCTCGCAGTCCTCGCAGGCGCAGACCCACAACGGCGCCACCACCACCACCCACACCGGCGAACTCTCGCTCAAGGAGATCGGCCCCGCTGCCGACGTCCTCAAGCACCGCTTCCAGCGCGCGCGGGTGCTCGTCCGCGCGCTGCCCGACACCTCGCGCGGCACCGCCGAGCAGCGCGCCGAGATCGCCGCCCTCGAGGACCGCCTGCGCCGTCAGCGCCGCGTGCTCACCGCGCTGGGCGAGATGGGCGCGCGCTTTGCGGCCGCGGGCGGCGAGGACGTCGCAAATGACGAGGACGAGGATGACGGCGAGAGGATGGACTTGGAGTGAGGGAGAGGGTGGTGTGCGATACAAAGAGGATGCCGATAGACGGGAGGGAATTCGACGACACTGCTGGCTCCGCCGCGGAGAGTTGTGGTTAATGTCCGGAGAGGGGGAATAGTGAACAATAAAAATGCAATCAGCCCATTTGGGTGTTGACTTCGGGCGCCTTCGCCATACCTTTTGGGAGCATGAACGGCAAGGTGAGACGCGGAAATAACAAAGGGATGAGCGGCGATGATACCTATCCGCCACGAGTATACCTCGACGTAAACCGCGTCTACTCTCGGGAGAATGGGTCAGACGAAGGGCGGAGACAAGAGGAAGGCCGAAGGAGGCATGGATTCACCTTTCACACATGCGAGAGGGGTGCGAGAGGAGTGCCCCGGTTGCGAGGGTTTTTGGCTGCCTATGGGGCGCAATGGACGACATAGCACTAAATATTTTGGGTGGGTAATCGGTTAGATTATACCACCCTGCCCGCAACAACTGCCCGATGCGAGACTATTGGACTCATGGTGTAGTTATCGGCGCATGGAAACCATAGCTTGAAGAATAGCTTCATCAAGTAACAACCATGCTAAGGGTCAGAACACTGCCTGCACCCACACGCTACGAACACTCGGAAACTATCGGAATCTCTACAATGCCCAATGCGCACGTAGATATCCCTCAGGATCAAAAGAAGTCAGGGCATAAATGGTCAGGTCAGACCTCACAAGTTATCACAATTTGGATAAACTCAGCGGAACAACGCCGAAGGCTAGATCTGGTATCTATACATACACCACCGAGAGACTCCTAGCCCAGTATCGTAGGCATCCGGCTTTTCTTCCGTTGCCCCCTTATTCCACAACCTGCACTCCTACCCACGCCTGTACACTCCCCAAGTACACATACCTAACTCTCGACCACCCAGCCGCCCCTACGAGGAGGGCACACCAACCGTCCGTAGTATGTCGTCCGTGCTTCGGCTCGGGCCGCCGCGGACCGCGTCCTGCCAGACGTCGGCGGCGACGCGCTCGCCCTCGGGTAGCACGGTCCAGTTTGGCGACGGCTCGCTCTTCAGCCACTTGAAGTCATCGACCTGGTCCCATTGGTTGCTCTCGTCTGTGGTGCCTAACTTGGTAGCCTAGTTTTGGCGCCAGGACCTGTCAGCCATACCAAGCAAGCCCGACTGGTTCGCAGTCACGGTGAGGGCTAAGTCGCCCTGGGGAGGCACGAAGAGGAAAGGGTCACAGGAGTGAGAGGAATGGGGTGGGGGGACTCACATAAAACTCGGGCAGCGGCGCGAAGCGCATCCGCGAACAATCCTCGATGATGGGGTGGCTCGCGCAGTGTAGGTACACGTCGACGCCGATACACTCGTGGAAGCGGAGCTGTCGCGCCGCTACGACGACGACGCAGTCCCTTAGGCCCGTGACGTGCACCGGCCCCGCAACGCGGCCGGTAACGACAAGGCTCTGTCGTATGTTCTTGAGCGCGAGACTCGCGAATGGTGCGCCGCTGCCGCTGCTGCTGTCGCCGATTGTCGGCGCTGGCATGTCTACCACGCAGCGACTCAGGTTCGTCAGGTTTCCTGAGGATGCAGCCCCCGCCGCCGCCGGCGGCAGCATGATGTGCAGGCCCGTGTGGTCGCGAAGCGCGACACTCTCCACGGCCGAGAAACTTGGCTTCCGAATGCCTGTGCCTAGCTCGTCGGGTCGCTCGATCTCCTGGTTGTAGTCCTTGGCGGGCTGCACGGGATCGCCGCCCACGTCTGAGCCGGCCGCGACCGCCGACCGTCCCGACAAGTCAGCGCTGTTACCCAAGGGTCCTCGCCGGCGCCGTAGGTCGGGTCGTTGTTCCGCCTCCGACTTCGCGACCGCCCGCGGTTTGAACTGGAAGCGCGACTTCGGCGCGAACTTTGCGGTGGTCTCGTTAAGTTTCTCCGTCAAAGCCTTGACGGCCTATTTCATTCACCCGCTTTGTGAGAATAACGCCGCGAAAAGGGATGGTTTGGAAGCATGGCGATATGAAACCTGTTACCTGAGAATACGTCCGTTGGTCGTAGGCGGGGATATAGTCAGCGGCGTCCATGACCTCGTTGGACAGGCGCGAGATGCCAGCCAGCACGGTGTCGGTGCAGTCCTGCCGCTCTCCGCCTACGGGTGACAAGGTCGCTAGATCATCGATCTGGCCCTGAATAGCTTTTCGCCCCATTAGCTCGTGGCTACTCTCGCTCACGCCCCCACGTCAGGACCACGACGTAACATCTCTCACCCGTTATCTCTGCCTGGAAATAGCGGAAGAATCGCTCCTTAGGGTCTGACATTTTGGCGGCGATATTGGGCGGACTGGAGCTGAAAGGAATAAAGATCTGAGTATCCATATTGTGGGTAGGGGTTTACCCGGGCAAATAGTTGGGACGATATTCAGGTACACAGTAATGGGTATACTTCTAGATGCCAAAAGTACCCTCGTATCAGTATTCGCTCCTTACTGCTATTGTCTAAGCGTACCCAACTTTTTCGAAGCTCCTGCGACGGATGAGTTGGCGGTGCCAGGCATATGAGGTCTGAAAAGGCGATGGTGCATTAGGTAGGTAGGTTTATATCACCGAGAGATGTTACGGTCATGCGGCCACGGGGACAGGACAGAGGCAAGGAAGAAATGGACGTGAAAAAGGACCAGGAGAGAAGGCGTCCAGAGCGCGGACAATCGATGTGGCAACCTCAGCTGCACTATGGCGTCGACCACATAGGTTGGTTGTGTGTCGTGAGCCGGGGGGCACAAAGAGGAAGGGCGCATAGAAGATGCATCACCAGTGCCACACAACCCACGTATTCAATTCATGGGAAGTACGGAGTAGGTACATGAAGCATAATTGTACCAAAAGAGGGGCTCGGCACGACCCCGGTATGGGAGATGGCAGGGTGCCACGTGGTCGGGTGGTGGAGGAGGCGGTATGTAGCGGTGGTCGCTGTACTCACCGTGGTCGCTTTTGTAATTGATTGAAACTCACGCCAACCTGTTGGCAGAGAAACCTTGCTGCTCCCTTTGAACAAGAGAAGTCCGGCGTTGAAGTGCGAGAGAAGCTAGAGCTTTATCGAGCAAGACGGTAATCTTACCTATATTTGTTGCCGAGGGCCAGGTAACGCATTTTCGATAGCTATGACAACCCAAGATCGCATTCGCGCGTCATCTCCGGTTGATTTAAGCTAACCTTGGATACCACCAGTCTCACCCGATTCGTCGGAGTTGCGATCTGACGAGGCAGTTGGTAATACGATGACCGAGTCCGAGACAAATGCCGTTAGGCATCCGACGCACTCGACAGTCTTCTCAGAGTGGGTTTCGGCGATGCTGAGAGAGTTAGGTATGGTGACCACTACATTCGCTAAGGATGCCGATTGAACAAGCTCTCGAGCCGATACCGACTCCCCGGCCAAGAAGAGCAGGACGTCAGGTAGCAGACCAGCGACGAGGGACAGGCACCGGTCGATCGATGGGGTAAGCTAGACTACCCCTTCGCGAGCCACCCCTTCGCGAGCTAGGTATTTTATATAGGTTTACATATAAACGATTTATCCTCGTAAAAGACCGGGAAAAAATCGGAAAAATCAGAGATTTACTTACGTAATCAATTAGCATGATTAAATCAATATATGAACTTTACGGATTTTCTGCTTACTAATATGGGAAGTTATATACGATTTAAGGTTTTTTGAAATTCTACTAACAGTTTCTTATATAATTTATTAGTAACCTTGTTAACTGTGCTGATATCGATATGTTTACCTAATTCTTCTATGGTAATAAAGTGGGTCCATTACCTAATACTTTTTTGATAAATAGAAAAATAACTAATATTAAGTTATCCTATTTTTATTCTTTGATTCCGTTTTTATTTAATTTATTATTTTAAGAAAACCACGTTTTGGAATATGTTAAAACTTTTTAAAATCGTACCTATTTTCACAGTAAGAATTCCACCTTTCCGACTGTCCTATTTTTCTATACAAAGAGGTTATAAAAAGGAATACTAAAAATCAACGTTTTTAAGACTTAATTAATTTAATAAAAATTAGAAAAATGAAAAGAAAAAGGTTTACATAATCTTAACCATTATTCTATTTATAGTATAAAGGATTAGGTAATAGACCCACTTTATTATCGTGAAAAAAATAGGTTAAGAGGCCGATATAAAGCATAGTTAACAGATTTACTAATAAATTATATGGCAAACTGTTAGTACAGTTTCAAAAAACCTTAAATCATGAATAATTTCTTATATTACTAAGCAAAAAATCTAAAAGTTTTATATTAAGGAGGAGCAGAGCGTACGCGCTACTGGAAACCCGGATAGGTTCACTCGAAAGTATACTCTATCGAAGACTACAGCACGTACGATGGTCCAGAATAAATAAAACTAATATCACTATATTAATCGAAAGGCAAGGAATCTAATGTAGTTATCGTATCTTAGCTATATCCCTTAGTCGTAGAGATATAGTAGTCGCTAACCTAAAGGTATAAAAGGTAAGGGAAGAAAAGGGGCAAAACGTAAAAGTCACTTATTCGGCTATAGCGGTACGACGAAGTAATTTAAGCGCTTATAACTAAAGTAGATATATTAATCGGAGAACGACGAATCTAATAATAAAAACGAATCTTTAATTAAAGTAAAAATAATAAAGATAATAATTTAACTAGGTCGTAAATTAAATAATAAGCATAATATATCCCGTACTTACGGGTACTATAGTTACTCTATATAAGTATAAGGCCTATCGTAACGTATTACGTAATATATTAGGAGGGTATATCTTACCGTATCATTATAGCCTCCCTAGTTTAATTATACCGTAAGAAGTAATTAAATTAAAAAGGATAATACGGTATATTCCGATTAATATCTTCCCTTAAAAACTACCGCGAAACTCTATTCTACTAGCTACTATCTAACTACTACGGCCGCGCCTTTAACTTTTCGTTTAATATTATAAGAAGGCCCTTCTATTACTTTATAGCTAACTTAGCCCGGTTTACCCTTATCGATCTAACCCGATCGACGTTCTCTTTCTTTATCTCGGCTACCTTCTTCTTAATCTCCTTTTAGCCCTCCTAATTAAGGGAATAGCAGGGAAACGGACGCGTCCTAAGGGTTAACTAGGTATCTCCTCTTTACCTATACGGTATAGAGGTTTCCCCGGACTAGAAAACTCTAATCCTTACTAAGCCGGGGGAAGAAAGGGAACGCGTCGTAACCTTAACGAGGTTATCGTAGCGGAGGTTTACGTCCGTTAATACTAAGGAATAAGGGGGATTAAGTACTAAGGCTATAAAGGAACGGCGGACTTCGGCTTACGCGATAAACCGAACGAAGGATTTACGGCTAGGGAATTCGACGATCGACGTACTTTACGCCGAAGCTATAGCGTTAATAAAGTCGATTCGCTTCTAATAATTTACGGCTTACCGGAAACGCTTAACGATATTAACCCGTTCCTTTAAAACCCGAACGCTATAAAATTACTTTATTATTTCGGCGTATTTTCTTATAATATTAAAGAAATCGAGGCCTTTATTTTCTTAGGCCTAACGCGCGACTTCGATCGGTTATTTAAAGATAAGATACGGTAAAATACCGCTTTAAAAACCGTAACTAAAGTTATTTTATTAATCTATTAACGCGACGTAGTAAGTAGATTAAGGGGTTATGTTAGGCTTAAGATTACCGTCTTCTTATACTCGCTATAACTAGCCGAACGCGTACGCCGTTCGATCGAAGGCGCCGTTCCTAACTATATTAAAGCTAAATAATCTTCGGGGCTTAAGGAGATATAGTACTACGGCGAAATAGGCTTAGGAGAACTTTAAGGGGTCGGTAATAACTCGTTCGGGGTCTACTAGATCCGTATAAATCGTAAAAACTAAAACAAAGGCAAGGTTATCGAGGAAGTATTAACGGGTTAAGAAGTTAAACGATCCTACCGATCGATAGCTTATCGTTTAATACGGGTTTACTTCGAAGGCCGCCTTTGTACCTTCGAGGTCGTAACTAGTTATAGTATAAAGGACGCGGATATCTTCGTTAATAAGGTAGTCGTAACGGGCGACGTAAACGAGAGAGTTAACTAGGACTACCTTCGTTTATTCCTATAGCTATTAATCCATAGTTCGGAATCGATTAACGGATAGCCGGAAGGCCTAGGCTATATCGGATCCTAGCTCGATCGGACCCTTCCCCGAATCGTAATTATCTAAAGTATTAAACTAATACTCCTTTATATTATTCTAGTTATCTTTACTACCATAAATCTCCCGTAGGAGTTCTATTAAATCGGCTAGATCGGTACGACGTACGTCTCTATAAACGAAGGAAAGGGAGAAGGAGGAGGGAATTCCGGCGGAGCGGGGGGAAGATATAATAAAAATAAAAAAAAAGAATTAAAGGAAGAGGAAAAAAAGATAATAAATTAAAGGTAAAAATAAGAATTTAAATTAATAATAAGAAAGGCAGGCTAGAGATTAATAAGAATATAATAATTATAAGAAGGGGGTTTTCGAAATAAGATACCTAAAAAGGAAAAAGAAAGGAAGGGAGGGAAACGTATTAATGATATAATTAGATATACCTTTACGGCTAACGCTTTAGGAAAGCGCGTTCCTCCGTATACGTATAAAGCTATAATAAGAGACGCGTTAGCTTATAGCTTCCTACTATATGTTTTTAATAAAGTAATAAGTACGTACGTTCGTAGACTCGTAATTAAACGTAGGCTAAAGTAAGTATTATCGAGACTCTTCTAAGTACGGTACTTACGACCTAAGTAACGTATTCGACTCTCTCGTTCTCGTCCGACCTTCCCTCTTATTTCTCGCTATTCTACGGTTCCGATCTACTTCCTTTCTTCCTTTCCTTAGGTCCTTTATCTTCGTTTTAGTTCGTTTTTCGATTTTTCTTAATTCTAGATTTATAATTTCGTCGTTCCTATCTCTCTTTCTTTTATATATATATATACGATAAATCCTACCATTTAAAAGTAACTCCATAAACTAAACCGGGCGACCGTTCTTAAGTTATTCGAATAGCTAAAGGTTACGGGAATTACCGACGAAGAAATTACCGGGGCGTTTAAGAAAGCTAAGAAGGATAAAAAAAGGCCGTAACGTATTAATAAGTTAAGTCGATACCGCCGCCGGTAAACCTAATAAATAAATAACCCGACGAATCCTTCCGCCGCCTATCCTCTACCGAGGAATTCCGGGACGTTAATCGGTTAATCCTTAAGCCTTAATAGGTATCGTACGCCCCGTATTCCCGCCCGTTAAACCAAAGCCCGAAAGTAATTATCGGCCGGTAGCTCCGGGGTATCGAGGGAATTC